TCTCAACATTATGAGAAGCACAGATCATTAAAGAAATATATAAATGATAGACCTGGAAGGCCAATAGCATGAGTGATCGCTGTGTGTCGCAGCTCGTGCTCAAGACTGAGGCCTGGGTTGGTGTCAGATCAAAGATAGCATCAGTAGACGTAAGCAGAAGTCGCCTGAAGCGTTGGTCATCTCCTCTTTGGTTGGAACCAAAGAGAGTAAAAGTAACCGGCCCACGCACTGCCACATCTGCTGTAATTTGACTTTACATGCGGTAAGCTTCATGACACAGGCTTTGCTGGAGGTACAGTGTGGCTGCAGGATGATCCACTTTCTGTCCAGCACAGAGCTGTGACTCACCTGTGGTGACAGTAAGTCCTGACTCATCCTCAGACCTCGACCGACTGCCTGAGGATTCAAAGGAGCTGCCTGATGACAGGATGATCTGTTCTCATCCTGATCCGCACTGCGGTTGCACAGGTCAGCGGCGAGCAGATTGTCGAGTCTGCTGCGCCACTCTGGTTCTCATCAGGTGCTTCAGAGGAAATCAGCTGAGCTCATTTCCTTTCTTCAACAAATGAGTTTGGATTTGTGTGTGTGTGTGTGTGTGTGTGTGTGTGTGTGTGTTTCCAACTGTTTCTCCTGTAGTGGAATAATCTGCTCATTCTGGTCGATTTAAACACATTTCAGCGTCTGCCCAGTGACGTACAACGTTTTGATACCACTTTCTAATAGGTCTTCCTTTATAAATGATTTATTCGTCAAACCTAAAAGAAAGAACTTTGCAGTTGGCAGGTGGTTAAAAAAGACCTTCTGACCGGTGTTTACAACATTTGCTTGATCTTTTCTGATTACTTGAATGACTTGATGAAATTGAGAAACTCTTTCTTAATGACTTTATTAACATGAGTAACCGCAGACTTGATGGTTTATTACCCTTTATAAATGACCTACTAACATTTATAGCTGTACACTTAATAGTTTATCATCAGCAGATGCAGTCAGCTCATGGTCTAAGTATGGAACTTAGTAACTCGCAGAGTCCCTGAGGAACTTGAGTTAAGATAATCTTGTCTTGGGAACTACTACACCCGGGATCAAGAACAAACTTTTACATTCACTATATGCTGGAACTGTTTCTTGGCGACTAGCAACCAGGGGCACTGACTTCCATGGAGATACAATGTGTAGGCAGATTTTTTAACTTTGGTGAGAGTGAGGCTAGCTATTTCCACCTGCTTCCAGTCTCTATGCTAAGCTAAGCTAATCGCCACCCGGCTCTTACTACATAGTTGATGCACAGACATGAGAGTGGTATCAACCTTTAACCCTCATAAAGAAAGAAAATATGCAAATTAAAAAAATAAATAAATAAATACCGTCCTTTCTCTCATCTGTAATGTTGTTTTAAACATAATTCTGTTGTTTTCTATTTGTTGTTTACGGGAACACTGTAAAGCCACTGAACACTTATTTTTGGCAACATGTGATTTTTGGTGACATGAGAATTGACGCTTACTCTAAGGCACTGTGGATGAGACCACCAACTAAAAGCCTGAAACGTAAATGTCATATAAAATGTGTGTATGTGTGTGTGTGTGTGTGTGTGTGTTTGTGTTTATTTGTCTGCCTAATTCAGCCCAGCCCTTGGTTTGTCTTGCCTTGTTTATTGTTGTATGTTGCTAACAACAGCAGCAGATGGTAATGATGATAGTCAACCACTCTCCTCCGCAGTCGTCTTAACAGGTGTAACCTCATTCCCTCTCTAATTTGTCAGCCCACGCTTGTTTTCCCTCATTTTCACCAAGTTTTGTTAAAGCTACTCATAGTTGTTGTTTTTTTTTTCTGCCCTCTTTTTGCTCTGCCTCCATTACCCCGCGGTGATGTTAAGTGAGTTAGTATTTTTGGACTTCCAGCATGCCGCCAGAAACCATCAGACATCTTAGCTTTCCCCTCTGGCGGTCCGTGAAACCCCACTGTCAGTGAAGCCCAAAGGCAACAACAAAGTGGACTGAGTGTTCAGTAGCAAAGTAGTAAAGCAAAAAAAATCTAAATAGAAAAAACACGGAAAAAAGAATAAGAAAATAATAAAAGGTCCTCTGTGATTTATTGGCGATTTATTGAGTCTTTGGCAATGCTCTTGTTTTAAAAAATCTTAGTTTTAGATGTTTTAGGCACAGAGCTTTGGAAATAGAGTTTTTGTACTGTGGTGCATTTCCAGATCCTGGGGTCCAGGGTTCCTAAGGGAAAGGACTGGTGCCTAGTCCAAGGGGAGGGTCCTGGGGGTCATAGTGGCCCGCTTAAGCTTAATATACACACCTTCTCCACCTGCCAGAGAACACTGTTTTGTATGTTCTGAATGGAGCATCTGGACAGTGGCTGCCACACACACACTGGAAACACTTAAAGCTGTGGATGGAAAGACTCACACACTGCGCTCCACAGCCCACAGTGACTTCACACACACACACACACACACACACACACACACACACACACACACACACACACACACACACACACACACACTTTCTTCTGCATGTTGTTTGTCTTTGATGTTGCAGCTATTGACCTCCTTGCTGCTGTCACCAACCAATCTTCACACCGGGCACCGCAGCAGTAAACACTGAGCTAATATATTTGGGGGGAACATAAACAACACATGAAAACAGTGTAATTGGCCTGTAATTACAGAGCTGTGATTATGGAGAATGGTGCATATTTTTTAATCAGGGCCAATCTGCTTTCGAGCACTGGCAACAATCAGGAGAGTGGATTGAGATAGAGTTCAGAGGATTCCTTCACACATTTGAAAAATGGCAAAAACAATATAGAATAAGAAAAATATGGGATGAAGAAGAGATGGATAATATCAAGGGCTTTCAAAAACAGCTTTTGAAAATGTGGAAGAAGACATAGCACAGAGTCACCCGTTGTTAAAACATAGACGGGAAACATTGCATTTGTTTTGGCTGCGCTGTATGAGAATGGTCAGTCTCGAGTACCTGGATCAGGGGGTATAACAGCAGATCCCTGCAACATGGGGGGGCAAGTGGAGGACAGAGGATGGGGGACCCGAGGAATATAACTAAAGCAAAAGGGACTCACTGATGAAGCAAGATAAAGACCAAGGGAAAGACAGGACAGCAGGGAGCTTGTGGCCAGACGAGAATGTGAGGATTTTGTTGGAACGCTTTGACACACTAAAACCTAAAATCTCATTCTGTGGTTTGTACTTCTGGGTTATCATGTCCTCATCTCCCTCTCCCACGTGCGCACACATTCCTCTGTTCTGTCTAAGAACCATCAACAGAGAAAAATTGTGGAGAGTGAAGTCTATCTCTCTCTGTGGAATACACCTATTACAGAGCGAATGGGAAAATGAAAGGAAATTTCATAATCAGGTCCACATTAGCCCGGGGCCCGTGAACCCGAGACTGTCAGCATGGGTCACGCTACATGGGAACATTTTTGGAAAACAAGGGAGGAACAGAGCGAGGCGTTGGGAATAATTAGGCACTTATGGCAGCTTGCTAAAGCCTGAACACTGGATCCAGATCTTTGGAAAGTCTATGGAGGGCTTTGGCGAGGTTAGAGGTGACAAAGCAGAACGGTAAAATCTCCTGTGTGCTTTCTCCGACGCCGGAGGAGTTTGGCTCTCCGTCTCTGCGGCTGTCTGCGACGATGCTAAACCCCAAACACAGTGTCCTCGCACAACCTTTTCCAGTCCCTTCTAACAATCATGGGAATGAAATTCCAGCGAAAATGAAGGGTGCAGATTTTCATTAGCAGGAGGGAGCGCTCAGGAACGCCCGTCGACTGCTATGTTGCGGTGACGGTGGCGCAAGGAAGGGCTCGTTAAAACGGCAGCTCAGGTTTAGACATTTGCTTTACTGGGAAATGTGGCATGGGGGGGGTTCCAGGAGACTGGTTGTCCCTGGGTGATGTGTTTGTGGTGGGACATCTGCGAGTTGAAGAAAAAAGCAGGAAGAGAGCAGGAACTCACTGTTGAGCAATGAGCCTAGGTAAGATAAAGTCTTTGGTACCTTTGGACTAACTGGGTCTTTCAAGAGACTTTGCCCTCTTTTGAAGGTTCTCAAGTGGGCCGGTCATCTATACCTGGTCAAGATTGCACTTCTTAAAAGCTCACAGGGCCTTAGCTGTTTGTTTGGTTAACTTAAAGAAAGTGCCTGGAGGCTGCACAGCTAGGAAATCCAGATGCTCTGCTCTCTTTTAATGCCCCATGAAACGCCAAGCCTGTGTCATCATATTCACTGCTGGGCAATACTCACCTAAAGCTGGACCCGAGACAGAAGACAGGTTCAGCGCAAACACACACACACGCAAATTAACCCACACACACACGACACATGGTCTTTCTCCCCGAGTGAACAGCACGCTGAAGTAAACACACTGGTTGCCCTGAAGAGAAGTTTGGTTTCATTGTTTAATGACTTTGCTATTCCCCACTAATGTTTTACATATGAGACAGAGATTGCTCCCATTTGAAGAGGGAAAAAAAGAGAGCAGACATCCATCTTTCTCTCACTGACTCACTTGCTGCCTTTTCATTCCCACTCAAATCTTTTACGCTCAGTCATTTTCAATCTGATTTCCTCAGACAACTCAATTACGTTGGCCGGGGCCCATTTGTTTTCGAACAAAATATTAGAGAATGGAGTTTATGAGTCATAACAAACATCTTTCAACTCGATCCTATTAGTCACCTTGTTGCTTGACGGCTTCTTGCAAAACGTCCTTTTTGTCCAGCATCTGAGCAAAGAGAGAAAACAGAGCAACACATGTTTGCACTGGACAGGGTGTACACATAGAGACCTCACACAAAACCATGCACACACACACACACACACACACACAAACACACACACACACACACACACACACACACACACACCTCCTGAGCCTGTACGTTGAGCTAGATTTCAATAAATCCTCATTGACCCCAGAGAAGTCTGCAAAATTAACCTTTTTTTTTCCTCTTGTACTTTCAGAAACCACAGACCATGGATCAAGTAAATGTGACAAGTGAGTGGACTTTCTTTTACCTTGCAGCCCATATCAGACCCTCTGTTTTCATTCATTACAAGCCGAGCCTGACCTCTAACTCTCCGCTCTCTGTTTTGTTCTTTCGTGCGCATGTTTTGCGATGATCAGTGGCAGCGGTGGCGTCGGAGCTGTGCAGAAGGAGAAGGTGAAGGGCAAAGACGAGACGTACTGGAGGGAGATCAACGCTGCCATGGCCTTGACCAACTTGGCGCAGGGGAAGGACAGCGCCTCCGGGACCACCAGCTGCATCATCCAGAAGTCCTCCCATATAGCAGAGATCAAGACTGTTAAAGTGCCGCTGATGCAGAAATATTAGCGCTGACGTCATCCTCCCATCTCTCTATGCAAACCAGCAAACATTCCTGTTTCAGCAAACTCGCCGGAGTCCACATAAACTCCCCCTGGAGAGAATGAAAAGAGAACTGTTGTTAAAGGAGGGGGGGGGATGTTTGAGGCGAGGAAGCGTGGAACAAAAAGAGAACTCTCATTCTTTTTGGTTGTTATTGGTGTCTAAAAAAGTGCAAAAGAGGCCTTGACCATCATTTTCTTTGCTGGGTTGACGTGCGGCAGACAAGTGTTGATAATAGTTTCACTGCAGTATTTCCTAAAACAAGACACTTTTGTAATGTTAACTTATTTTTGATGAGTCTGATTTTTTTTTTAATTTCTTCTTTTTTTACGCTACGAAAATTTGTATTTTGCCAAAGTGCCTTTGTTATTTAGACGAGTAACTCACCGACTGTCGTCAATGCAAAGTACACATACTGAGGTGCCTGTTGGGAATTTGTGGAGGAATATTTGACAAAGTTTCGAGTCACAGTCACAATTCAGGATTTGTTTTTTTCTGAATGAAAACTCCCCAGCCTGTGCCTTAAGGACTGAATGAGCTCACCATCTGAGGCATTGATGAACTCAAATAGCACACACACACACACACACACACACACACACACACACACACACACACACACACACACAAACACACACAGATACACACTTTATTAGAACATACCCAGCAGCGTGACATTGTTCTTGTTTTGACTGGAGTCTTCATTTTGACTGTAAACTGACGCTGTTTTGTCTCAGCTTCTCCTTGCTGGCGGGCCAACAATAACTGTCGCGTACGTAGATAAGATGCCCGAACGTGAGCAGCAGATCGTTAAGCGGCCTTGGATTTCATTAACCAGCGAAGGATTCCTGTCTTATCTGGGCTTTTAGTTGCTGAAATGTGCTCAGCTGGACCCAGATGAAGTCACATTCCCCCACGCAGAGACACAGATAGATCATATAGACCTTCAGGCGTGCGTTAAGGTTCAGTACAGTGTCTGTTCTGACAGAAGAATGCCATGACCTAAAAGGGATGTTTTCACTTTGCATTATCAGTGTTTTCTGTGGACAGTGTTGCCTTTTCACGTGTTTGTGCTCAGAACAAGAACAAGATAGTCCGGAGTGAACGAAAAAGAAAAGCCACCACCAGCTGCCCCCCACCCAGCCGTTTGATCCTCAGCCCTCTCAGCTGTTTAGCATTACATTCAAATTGCTGTTTACAAGAAGCCAGAGGATAGACTTAAAAGTTTGACTCTCTACCCCTAGCTTTTTTTTTTTGTTTGTCTTCAAAAATACATTCCAGTATTATCTATTTGTCGGCCAAGGAAGTGTTCAAAGTATCTGTTATTGTCAGTCTGTATATGTGGTTGTTTTGTTTTTGATCAAAACTTTGTACTTGGTTTCACTTAACCGTACCGCATTAAGAGCTTCTTTTGTCATCCAATGGAAAGAATCTCCTTTATAGAAAGTACTTATGTACGGTGCATATGTTATAAACGTTTGCGGTGAACGATGCCAAGTTCACAAAGTGGGGGAAATCAAGTTGGGCTTATGGGAGAAACTGAAGTTGGCTCTCTATGCTGACTTTTTAATTTTATGTATATCTTCAAGGTACTGTTTATGTGTGTCAAAATGTACACTCCTTCATAATTTGTGCAGTTTTAATTTTTTGGACAACCCAGACTGTGTTAAAGTCAAGGACCTTGAGAGGGAGTGAAGCTGCACAAAGTGACTTTTTGACCTTTTTTATGTCTTGAATGTGCAAACTGTAAGCTGCAGTACTTTGTTTCAATCAGAAAACACACAGCCTCCATTGAGAACTTATGGATGAATGTGTTTTTACATAAAGGTGAGGAGAAGGAAAAGAAATGAAGGACAACCCTATATTATTCCTTTTAGCGTGCCGATGGAAGTATAATGAAATCAATCGCACTAGCCAATCCCCAGGCAGTATTTGCTTTTCAGTGGGGGTTGTGGGCTCCCACATGTGTTTTTTATACACCTGATCCAGGCAGGGTAGCTGCGGGGTAGTGCCGGGCCGGCTCCTTGTGTTTCTAATCGCACCTCTGAACCTCTGGACCACTCGCGACCCTCACACCTCACACGATACCCGCTCTCTGGGAAGAGACAGAGCGAGGGAAGGAGGCTTCAGAGACAACAGAGCAGCCTTTGTTGGTCCTACCTACAGTCCCTCCCCAACAACGACACTACGAGTAAAACAAAGGGGTTTCTACGGCCAAGACTTTGGTACTGTACATGCCTTTCTCCAGCACAAGCCCTGCTATCACAACCATGCTGACTAATGGAAAGCAACGGTATGTATTAAAGCCTATAAATTATTATTACAGACTTTGTAAAAACAAAGAAAGTGGTGACCATAGTTTGTTTTTTTATTGTTAAGTTATATAAATTGAGATTTCTTTTTGTTTGTTTTGAAAGAGACTGGATTTTCAATCCAATGACCAAATGCATATCTCCTCCTTGTTGCTCTCATGTAAAATTTCTTTTATAAAAACAGTTGTTTCTTGGTCAAAGCAATGAATAAACCTCTGAAGGAAATGAAAAGCAGTGTGTGTTTTATTCATCTGTTAATGTTTGTTTTCATAAACAGTTTATGTTGGCCACATGGAGGCGCTGAAAGAAACGGTAAACACAGCAGTGACTTTATTAAGGCTCACGTGATACAGAGCAACATTAGCACGTATTTGTGTTAACCTGACGATTGTAACTGCAACATTCACTCCTAACTTTAGCTTTGTTTTTGTCTCCACCAGCTCCTCAGAAAAATATCTAATGCTCTTTAGCAGATGCTTTATGTTCATTGGCTGGTTACTAACTTTGTCTGCATTTGGGTGCTGAGCAGGTAGATTAGGCTAGGTACAGTTCACAGTTTTTTAGGTACATATTTATCAGAGCTTTTTCACTGAAAACAGCTGTTTATTGCAGCTGGAAAGAAGGTTGATCAAAATGTTTAGAAACAAACAGAAAAACAGTAAATATGTCTATTATACATCAAAACAATTAGCTTAAAGACGCTAAAAACATTTTAGCAGAGAGAATTCTTTGAGTGTCGCTATCTGCAACTCCTTAAACATTATATTTATGGCTGCTCGGTTAGCTCAGTCGGTAGAGCTGGCAGCCCGGGTTTGAATCCGACCTGCAGCCCTCTGCTGCGTGTCATCCCCTCTCTCTCCACCCACCTTTCCTGTCTCTATAAAAATAAAGCCAACAAAATAAAAAACACTATATTTACTTTTTTTTTGTTAATATACAAAATATTAATTAGTGCAGCTCTAAAGAAGATTAGACATTTTAGCCCAGAACAGACAAACCAAACTCTGAAAGTGGTAATGTAGGATTGCAACCATAGTTTCCCCCTAATGCATGGAAGGGCAGAGTGAAGCAAGGGAGCTGCGATCTGCACCTTCATCGTTAGATGCCACTAAATCCTACACACTGGTCCTTTAGTGTGTAGCAGTAACCATTTGATACAATATACTCAGCCTTCCAAGTGTGTAGGAGAACTACAGGGGCTACGAGACTCACAAAAAACACAAAAGACACAGCCATACCTATGAATATTATATTCCATTTCTGTCAATAGATCCTTCTAAATGTTACACAATGGAAAGAATATTAGACATTACCCTCAATCGTTTCTCTTTCTGAACAGCCTCAGATTATATGCAGTGTGTTTATCATTTGAAAGGAGAGGGAAAGAACTAAACAAAAATACAAATTCTGTTATTTTTAGGCTATTTTAGTTTCCTTTGTTGGTGTCACTGGGCTAAAGTCTTAATTCTAACCACAGGCCAACGCTTGACACTGATCACAATATAGGAGATGTTTGTTTATGACACACAGGGCGGGGTGGGTTTTAAGAGCTAAACAAACTAATTATGACAAACCATTGGAAGAGCTGAATGTATACAGCAGTGATCTGCGTCAACCACACACCGCACATTAGTGGTTTGGGCCCCAGTGTTTGCTATCTCCTGTGTATTTTTGATACCTTTAGAAGGATGTCGAGCGTTTCACTGTATTTGTCTGACCCGGGATCAGATCGAAATCTCTCTCTCAGGAGTTCAAGAGGGCAGCAGCAGCGAGAGATAAATGGCTTTAAATAAAGATTTCATAAAGTTTGGGTTTTCTATATCCGCTATCATGATGTGGATACCTAGGGAAGTCTGTACATATAATTTGAGCACTTGTGGTATTGTGGATCCTGTACGATAGCGTCAATAGACAACCGAGCCTTTGTGCAGTGTGAAAGCATCTCAGGGAGGCCGGGGGGGAAAGCTGAATTTATGTCTCATGCCTCCTAGGTGTGTCCTTTTCCTCAGGGCTCAGTCTCCCTTCTCTTTCCTGTATATTAATGGCTCTACCATGCCACCACTCATCCTGAACCTGAGCTCTGCCACAGACCTGAGGCCAAGACCCCTCTTTCATCAGGGAAGACAGAATGAGGAAGATACTGAAGGAGAAAACAGGACTGCATGAAGTGATTTGAGAGACAGGAATAAGATGTTGACAGCAGCTGTCCCCACGCTGGTGGCAGCAAACGCCACAAGTTGTAAATGCTGCCCAGTGTTGGAAGGTCCTGCGTCCTGCGGTTCCAATGTCAGTCAGAACCAATCGGGACACGGCCTGTGGAGTGGCCAAACAAGATTCCCTGCTGGTTTTCGTGGATCTGTTGCCTCGGGACCTCAGTGTCACCCTGACACTTCCTGAAATAATCCTATCAGGTTAGTTGACCTCTCATCCCTCACTGCACTCAGCCAGCCAAACCCCGCCTTCGCTGAGCAACATTTTCCATTGAAAAACTAAGTGATATTCCAGGCTGCATGCTATAGCTTCTCCCTTCATTTTTTTCATCCATGCCTCCTCTCTTGTGTTGCTGACAGATCTGAAAGGAGTCGTGGAACTGCACGGTTATCTCGGCGCAGGAGACGGACAAGTGGAGATTCTCGCTTGGCGCGACTCGCAACTTGACAGACTCCAGACTTCACCTTGGCCATTTAGTCCGCCAGAAACTCAACTTCACCGACAGCGGGCAAAACCGCACGGAATGAAATCCAAGAACGCAGACGTTCTGAAAATCATTTCCCATTTGATGAGGAAATATGACTCCCATGGCATGCTGAAGTAATTAGTTACCTTGCTGTGAAGGATGCTCCTTGGAGCCCCCCGTTCATTAGAGCCAGGACTTTGTCTTTTGCTTACTCCTGCCCTTGGACACAAATATGAGAAAAATCGCTGGGCCTAATTGTTAGATTCCTGAAAGAATTGACTGATTAAAAACTTGGTCCGGCCTTGCAATCATTTTGGGGCCGGGGCTGTTTTGGATCAGCAGTAACTTCATGGATGTTGGAGGAGGCGATGCATGCGGGCCACTGCTCAGATCACGGACACTGTGTGAACCAGAGCTAATCACACGGGAGACAAAGGGTCAGAGAAGCGTTATTACTTTGCAGACAAATTACAGCCCTCTAATTAGCATATTTTCCCGGAGGGCACGTCTGTAGATGAGTGCAGTTTGAGTTTGCATGATACTGGGAACTTCCACTGGATGATACTAGGAAACATTAGCTAACGCTGAAGAGGAATTAGTGCTTACACAGATTACTGACTAAACGAATTACTTTAATGAAGGAGGAACAATGTGTTATTTCAGTATTAGCTCTGGTTTCTGGATTTCCTGCAAACATTTAATATGCGTAGAAATACTTGCTCATACATATGTTCAGAATAAAGAAAACTTTTTGATCCATGCTGTTCTCGCCCAAGTAAGAATTAGATCCCAACTCCTCTCGTCTAGATTACAATTTCTGTGTCAGGCAAGACGTTTTTTGTCATCTTATATTCTCTTCCTTGATGCATAATTTCCTGAAATCAGTCATTTTAAAGTGAGCAATACAATCTGTGTTTTCTTCTTGATTCCATCATTGTATTAAAGCCACATTTTCCAGCTATTCTTCTGCATGCAGCTCTGTTGCGAGGCGGTTTCTGGGTCTCCTCCGTGTTGGGCTAACCTAAGGCAGTTGAAAAATATTTCCTGTCCTCATTTCTCATAATAAACTTCTTCAGAAACCACCAGAAACAAGAGGGAGAGAGCTATGCTTACACGGAACCGCAAGTAAACGCTGTGTTTGGCCAAATGAGGACGTGCCGGGTGTTATTCCAGGTGGACATCATCTCTATTTTGTTTTGCGAGAGGGTCTGAAACAGGGGGAAAAATGTGACACATGCCAGTTTTAAACAAAAAGGGTCAATTGCGCTTGTAAGAACAGACTGTGAAGGCATGCACATTGTTCTGACCTGAGAGCATTGGGAAATGGATAAACGTAGATGGTTTAGAAACACTCTGCTCAGTTGCCAGAGTAAACTGCTCTCACAAAAAGGGAGACACACTTTTCATGACATGGAACAGGAATGGGTGTTTTGGGGGCGAGGGAATGCAGGAAATCTCTGCTTTGATACCTGGTGTCAAGTTTTCATTCACATGATTTCATCGACCGCGGTTTCTTGCACATGTGCCATGCCGTGTTGTCGGCGAGACAGCGCTTACACAAACTCCAGCCACGCAAAACATGTCTTCCTCTTTGCTGTAAACTGACATAATCCCAGTCACAGTCTCGCCACAAAGCCCTGCAACACAACAGGTCTCATGTTCACTGCTGTTGTTCAGAGGTTAGACTGATCCTTTCCCATTTGCCTCCAACATCCAAACAGGCCCACCATGCACAGCCACATGCAGTGGATCTCCCTGCTTGTTTATTGGAGGATAATGCCTGTTAATTTCCTCCCTGGATCCCATGTCTCAGTCCATCCAAGAGTCACTTGCACACATGGTAACAGCAACGCAGGCCATTTAGCTGCCTGCACCTCAGCTGTTTCCTAAAAGCCTAAATCCTGATAATTGGCCATTCTCTGAGCTCCTGAGACGGGCCGACTAAACAGCTGCTACAAACAATGAGACCCCTTCCAGAGGTGCTGCGGGTCCAAGCCGGTGCACGGCTGCCAACATGGGATCAAGATGAAGCAGAAGAACCTGCGGAGAGCAGAATCATATGCAAGATGAGGGGTGAGAACTGGTACTTCCACTTCTGTTGGTGCAAACAAAAGCTAAGATGACATATCTATTTTCATATACACACGAAATCCCCGCTGATAGCTTGCAGCTCGGTATTTCAGTGCTCGAAATTACCCTGAGAGAGTTTTGAACTGCTTTTATTTCAGTCAGACATAATCTCATTCACAGTCATTGTTTGGAACTCGCAAAACACATTTCTGGCTTCAAGGGATGCAACCCCACCAAAGAGAAAGGCGGGCCAAGGAAAGTCAGTGCCTCAGATTTGAAATGCTACCTCATATCTGGGCGTACGTGGCTCCATTTCAACCCAATTTTTTTTTATTCACATTCGCCAATTACTAGCAAACAATGTTTTTTTGACTCTATCCCGCCATGGTTCTAAAGTAACCCTACCCTGACATATTGCCATCGTTTAAGCCAGGTGTAAGGTCTAGGGCAGTGGAAGTGAAAGCACATTCTTGACTGGAATGAA